GGCCCCCCTCCCTCCTCGGCGCACCCCCGAGATCCCCAGAGATCCGACGCCGCCGTGATTTTTGTTTCGGCACGCGGTCCCCCGAAGTCTCGACCCGTTCCCCGGGGCCGGTTTTCCATCCCGAGTCGTTGCTTGACGGTCCCGGGGCCCGGCGAGGGCCCCGAGAGGCCGAGAATTGCGAAGAACCTCTCCGTCTTTGTTCTTCAGGCTTACGCCACATCCGCCGACCCCTATATAAACGACTGCGCCTCCAGGACTGCATTTCACGAGGCTTGTCCGAATCATGACACGGCGCTCGACATCGTTCATGTTGCTTCGTTGCTGTTATCGTACCTCTTGGTGTTTTTGTGTGCCCTGTTGGTGGCATCTTGGCTTGTCTGCAGGCAATCTCCGGCCGCCTCGAGGCATCTTGGGCCAAGTTTGGGGGGCCTCTTGGAGGCTTCCTGGGGGCTTCTTGAAGGCCTTTGAGAAGAACCTCTCTGTCTTGATTCTTGTCGGTGCGTTGGATCTCCGGGTCTCGAGGCTCCCCGGATGTGCAGCGCGGGGAGGCCCAAGATGACCCTGGGCGGCCCGAGCGGGCGCCGCGGGCTCCAGGAGGGCCCCAAGAGGCCCCAGAGACGGGCTCGAGGGGCCCAGGGCGGCCCCCAGGGGGCCCCAAGGCAGCCCCGGCAGGGCCCCAAGAGGAGGAGGAGGAGGAGGAGGAGGAGGAGGAGGAGGAGAAGGAGGAGGAGGAAGGAGGAGGCGGGAGAAGGAGGAGGAGAGTGAGAGGAGAGGAGGAGGGGGAGGAGGAGGAGGAGGAGGAGGAGGAGGAGCGAGGAGGAGGAGGAGAGGAGGAGGAGGAGGAGGAGAGGGAGGAGGAGGGAGGAGGGAGGAGGAGGGAGGCGGAGGAAAGAAGGAGGAGAGGAGGCGGAGGGGGAGGGGAGGAGGAGGAGGAGGAGGAGGAGGGGTAGGAGGAGGAGGATGCTGCCTTCTCCTCTTCTCCTCCCTCCCTTGCTGCTCTGTTCCTCCTCCTCGGCCACGGGGCGACCTCTCTCGCGTACGCAAGATGAGGCTCGCGAGGATGTCCCGGTGAGGGCGCGCCTCGCCCGGCGGACCCCGCCCCCACCGGCAATCGCGCCGCCGACGCTGTGGGGGGCCCTCGGGTCGTCTCGGGGGCTCTCGGGGCCTCCCGGGCGATCCCTGCCTGGCTTTATGTCTGGCGTGTCCCGGGGACTAGTATTTTTGTTGGGACTTGTTTCTTGTTGTTGTATTTTTGTTTTACCTTTTGAGGTATTTTTTATTTTTCGTCGAAAATCCCCCTGTAGGGGGACAGGCCCGACTTAAGCCTGGCTTCCTGGCGGCGTGCAGGCAGAAGTGACGGCAAGGCGTCTGCCGTTTGCGGCGCCTGGGGGCCCCTGCCAGGCCCCCAGGGCCGTCAAACGCGCCATTGGAGGGTGGGAGGCCGGTCCCCGGGCAGGGGCCCAGGCCTCTGGGGCGCCACACTACGAAGAGTGCAGGACGTCGGGCATCTGCGCATTGGGGGGGGGAACGGAGTGGGTGCATCTGGCCTTGCCCCCCGCCCCGCCGACTCGACCGAGGGCGTCGGAGAGGGGGCTGTGGACTGCAATCTGGCGTGTGTGAATACAGTCGAGCTTGATGAATAATTGAGTCGACCCGGTCAAATCAAGTAGAAGAACGAAGCATGGCATAAACATATAATTATCCCGGCAAAGCAACCTAACAGCGATGTGTATAAGCATATCTGGAAGCATTCCCCTTAAGATTCAGGTGAGAATCCAGTTGTAGAATTCTGCTGTTCTCGCAGTCGCAGTCGCATTCGCAATGACAGTCGCAGTGGCAACGGCTTTAGGATCCAATGGAATCCTAAGGATTCCTAGGGATTCCTAAGGCATCCTTAGGCATCCTTAGGAATCCATAGGAATCCTTAGGAAACCTTAGGAATCCTTAGGAATCCTGATTCCGAGGGATTCCTAAAGATTCCTCAGGATTCCTAGGGAATCCTAAGGATTCCTAAGGATTCCTGAGGATGCTTAACTATGCCTACGGATTCCTAATGATGCCGACGGATTCCTAAGGATTCCTATGGATTCCTAAGGATTCCGATGGATTCCTAAGGATTCCTATGGATTCCTACGGATGCCTCAGCCTGCCGCAGTTTCAGCCTCAGCCTCAGCCTGCCTCGGCTTGCCTCAGCCTCAGCCTCAGCCTGCATCGGCCTCAGCCTCAGCCTGCCTCAGCCTGCCTCAGCCTCAGCCTCAGCCTGCCTCGGCCTCAGCCTGCGTCAGCCTCAGCCTCAGCCTGCCTCAGCCTCAGCCTCAGCCTAAGTCTGCCTCGGCTTGCCTCAGCCTCAGCCTCAGCCTGATCCCCCCCCCCCCATTCAGCCTCACCTTGTCTCAGCTTCGGCCTGCCTCGGCCTCATCCTCAGCCTCAGCCTCAGTCTCAGCCTCAGCCTGTCTCGGCCTGAGCCTGCCTCGGCCTCAGCCTCAGCCTGCCTCAGCTTCAGCCTGCCTCAGCCTCAGCCTCAGCCTGTCTCAGCCTCAGCCTGCCTCAGCATCAGCCTCAGCCTCAGCCTCAGCCTGCCTCCGCTTGCCTCGGCCTCAGCCTCAGCCTGCCTCGGCCTCAGCCTCAGCCTCAGCCTGCTTCAGCCTCAGCCTCAGCCTGCCTCAGCCTCAGCTTGCATCAGCCTCAGCCTCAGCCTGCCTCAGCCGCAGCCTGCCTCAGCCTCAGCCACAGCCTCAGCCCCAGCCTCAGCCTGCCTCAGCTTCAGCCTCAGCCTCAGCCTGTCTCTGCTTGCCTCGGCCTCAGCCTCAGCCTGCCTCGGCCTCGGCCTCAGCCTCAGCCTCAGCCTGCCTCAGCCTCAGCGTCAGCCTCTCAGCCTCAGCCTGCATCAGCCTCCGCCTCAGCCTCAGCCTGCCTCAGCCTCAGTCTCAGCCTGCCTCAGCCTCAGCCTCAGCCTGCCTCGGCCTCAGCCTGCGTCAGCCTCAGCCTCAGCCTGCCTCAGCCTCAGCCTGCCTCAGCCCCAGCCTCAGCCTGCCTCGGCGTGCCTCAGCCTCAGCCTCAGCCTGCCTCGGCCTCAGCCTGCCTCAGCTCGGGCATTCAAAATATGGCACAGGATTGGATCTGGGAACACCAAGATCACGAAGTGGCCCACAGTTGGCTCCAGGCAATCAAAATATGGTACAGGAATGGTGTTCTGGGAACACGAAGAATACGAAGTGGCCTATAGTTGGCTCCGGGCATTCAAATGTGGCCTGGGAATGGTGTTCTGGGAACACGAAGAACACGAAGTGGCCTACAGATGGCTCCGGGCATTCAAAATGTGGCCTGGGAATTGTGCTCTGGGAAGACGAAGAACACGAAGTGGCCTACAGTTGGCTCCGGGCATTCAAGATGTGGCCTGGGAATGGTGCTCTGGGAACACGAAGAACACGAAGTGGCCTACAGTTGGCTCCGGGCATTCAAAATGTGGCCTGGGAATGGTGTTCTGGGGAGTCCCCGGATCCTCCCCGGCACCTGCCCAGATCCCCCTGCTGAGTCCCGGGGAGTCCCTGGATTTTCCCCGGCATCCGCCCAGACCACCCTGGGGAGTCAAGATGCTCTCTTTTGAGCCCACTAGAAACCTATCAGTCTTCGCTGTTTGGTAAATTCGGAGGTCCGCGCGGATTTCTCGGATCGGCGCTGGACCCCCTTAGCGGCGCCTCCGGCGCCGCCCCTGGCGCGCTCCGCGCGCCATGAAGGGGGTCCAGCGCGGATCCGAGAAATCCGCGCGGACCTCCGAGTTGTTATATTATTGTCATTCTTCGTTCCCCTTATCAAGGGTACCCTTGGGTCCTGTGTTTCGCGACCCACGTCTTCTACGTTCCTGTGACAACGTGGCCCTCGGAAGGGTCTTGGGTCCTCTCCAATCAACCCCGGCTACATCATGGGCGGGGCAGTGGAAAGCTGGAATGCGCAAGACCCCTGCTTCCTGCGCCCCCTCGTCGGCGCAGCCGAGCCGGACATCCTGGTCTTCGACGAGAGTCAGGATTGCCTGATTGGTTGCATTGTTACCCTCCAGAGGCAAGCATGGCCGCCCAAGAGGATTTTGCACCGCTCGGGCGTGGGCATTTTCTATGGCGTGAACCATCGAGGAGCATCATGGAGCATCTTGCGAAACAATAAACGCACGACATCGGAAAATGCACGGGGAATGGACGTCCGAGCGATGGCAGGAACATCTCGGGGCGACAGATTGGGGCAATGGGTGGAAAGGCCGGGGGGGCATTCACTGAAAAAGTGCAACGCGAGGTGGTCGGACGGTGTTTGATGCTTGCTTGGTAGGAGCGGTGGAAGGGGTCTAGCCTAAGAAAGCTGAGTTTCGGTAGGGGCTGGTTTCCCCCCCAAAACCCTTTGCGAAACCATCCCAGAACCCTCCGACAAAAAGCCTTTCGGAACTCTTCGGGGAGGGTTTTCGCAAGACATCGGATTGGATTCGGTCGCTTTGGGGGGTGGAACCAGTCCCTAGCGAACCCAGGACTTTCCAAGCCCAGTAAAGAGGATCTCCCGGTAACCTTTGGGGGCCTCCAGGCCTCCCAGGAGACCTCCCGCGCAGGCTCCATCCCGCTCCCGCGGGTCCCAGGGCGGCGAAAGTGGCCGAGGGCGAAATGCATCTCGAGCGCCGCCCAGAGGGAGCCAGACCCCTTTCGGTCGAGATGATCTTGACATGAATGGTCAGGCCCGCAGGGGATTGGTGATGAGAAGGGTCATGTTCCGCTTTTCCGCTGTTTGTCTTCTCCGTCCCAGTTGGGGGTGGAGAGTGCGTCGATCCCAGGCCCCGCATGGCGCTGATCAGGATCGCTGCTGGCGCACACCATAACACACATCAGGCGCTTCGACGTTGTAACTTTGATTCGGGGAGGAAAAGGACGCGTCGAAAAAGGAGACCGAAAAGGCGAAACAGCTCCATCTTGATCTGCTCGATGCGTTGGATCTCTGGGTCCCCCTCCAGCCCGCCGCCGCAGGCACCAGCCCGCCGATGCTGGCCGGCGGGGGCAGCGCGAGGAAGCCCTCCTGCGTCCGGGCGAGTGGGAGGGGGGAACGAGCGAGAGAGTTGCGGAGGAGGAGGAGGAGGAGGAGGAGGAGGAGGAGGAGTGAGGAGGAGGAGGAGGAGGAGGAGGAGGAGGAGTGAGATGGGGCGGACGCGGGCTGCGAGCGAGCGTGTGATCGTTTTCTGATTCACTGTTTTGCCGATCGGCGCGGGCCCTCGCACCCCCCCCCTCCCCCTCCCCCACCGCATGGAGTAGATCTTGGCTGTTTTGGGCGCCTGTTTCGAACAGGCAGGTGGATTCTCCTTTCTATTCTCTTTTCTCCCTGTCTAAAAAGAGAATAGACTCTACCCCCCCCGGGCGTTATCGCCCCCCCTTTCGGGTATGCAAATCATATATGAATCTGGCCACATGTCCATCCTAAATATGAATTTACACTATCCCAGGGGGGTCGGGGGCCGGTATCGACCCCCGTGAGGTTCCCTTGTTAAAAAACAATGCGCGGGGTCATCTCTTGTTCTAACATAACACTTGTTCACGAATCCCTTGCAAAAAACGAAACAAAGTGTACACGCGCGCGCCGTCGCGCGCGCATGCCGAAATCCTCAAACAACATGCGGTGTCGGAAGGATTTCGCAATCGAGTTCCCAAAAAAACAACAAAAACACCCGGTTTCGCAACACTGATTTGAGAAAAAAGCTTACGCGCGAGCTCTTGCGAAATCTTAAGTAAACCAGAGGTTGATCAAGATTTTTTTCAAAATGCTACCAAACGGGCGTCGCGCGCGCGCGTGTTGAAATCTGTCGAAGGCCCTTGCGCGTGTGCCGTCGCGAGACTCTTCTGCAAAAAATGGGACGCAGTGCAGACGCGCGCGTCGTCGCGCGCGTACGCCGAAACCCTTCAAAACCCATCGGTTTCGGAAGGATTTCAAAATCGTGTGTCCAAGAAACCTACAAAAACACAAGGTTTCGCAACACGGATGTTCAACAAAAGCGTGCGCGCGCGCTCTTGCGTCGTCGTCGTCGTCGCCGTCCTCCCTCCTCCCGCGTCGTCGTCGTCGTCGCCTACGTCGTCTTTTGTCTTTCCTCGTGTTCGTCGTCGTCGTCCTCTTTGGCGTTGTGGTCGTTTCCGTCGTCGTTGTCGCCGTGGTCGTCCTTCCTCCTCCTCCTCCCTCGTCGTCGTCGTCCGTCGTCGGCGTCCTTTCGTCGTCCTTCTATTTCGGCCCGTCGTCGTCGTCGTCGTTGTCGTCGTCGTCTTCCCTCCTCCCTCGTCGTTGTCGTCGTCGGCGTCGCCGTCCTTCCTCCTTCGTCGTTCGCGTCGTCGCCGTCCTCCCTCCTCACTCGTCGTTGTCGCCGTTGTCGCCGTCGTCGTCCTCCCTCCTCCCTCATCGTCGTCTTTGTTGGCGACGTCGTTGTCGTCGTCGTTGTCTTCGTCGTCGTCGGCGTCGTCGTCTTCGTCGTCGGCGTCGTCGTCGTCGTCATCGTCGTCGTCGGCGTCGTCGTCGTCGGTGTCGTCGTCGTCGCCGTCGTCGTCGTCGCCGTCGTTGTCGTCATCGAGGTCGTTGGAGACGACGTCGGTGTCGTCGTAGTCGGTGTCGGCGGCGCCGTCGTCGTGGTTGTCGCTGTCGTCGTCGGCGTCGGTGTCGTGGCCAAGTGCCATGTGGTACCTACCGTCACGGTCTTGTCTTAAGAGGTCTTGCGACCAAGTTGCGGGTGGGAGGGTGGGATGTTTGCACGAGCAGTGGAGAGGACGGCTTCAAGACGGTCAAAGTGAAAAAAATAATACACTCTACCCCCCCCCCCCCGGCGTTATCGCCCCCCCTTTCGGGTATGCAAATCGTATATGATTATGACCACATGTCCACCCTAAATATGAATTTACACTATCCCAGGGGGGCCGGTATCGACCCCCCTGAGGTTCCCTTGTTAAAAACAATACGCGGGGACATCTTTTGTTCTAGCATAGCACTTTTTCGCGAATCCCTAGCAAAAAATGGGACGAAGTGCACACGCGCGCGCCGTCGCGCGCGACTGCCGAAATCCTCAAACAACCTTCGGTGTCGGAAGGATTTCGCAATCGAGTTTCCAAAAAAACATACAAAAACACAGGGCTTCGTAACACTGATTTGAGGAAAAAGCTTACGCGCGAGCTCTTGCGAAATCTTAAGAAAACCGTTGGTTGTTTCAAGATTTTCACAATATGCTACCAAACGGGCGTCGCGCGCGCGCGTGTTGAAATCTGTCGAAGGCCCTTGCGCGTGTGCCGTCGCGAGACTCTTCTGCAAAAAATGGGACGCAGTGCAGACGCGCGCGTCGTCGCGCGCGTACGCCGAAACCCTTCAAAACCCATCGGTTTCGGAAGGATTTCAAAATCGCGCGTCCAAGAAACCTACAAAAACACAAGGTTTCGCAACACGGATTTTCAACGAAAGCGTGCGCGCGCGCTCTTGCGGCGTGTTCGTCGTCGCCGTCCTCCCTCCTCCCGCGTCGCCGTCGTCGTCGCCTACGTCGTCCTGTGTCTTTCCTCGTGTTCGTCGTCGTCCTCTTTGGCGTCGTGGTCGTTTCCGTTGTCGTTGTCGCCATGGTCGTCCTTCCTCCTCCTCCCTCGTCGTCGTCCGTCGTCGGCGTCTCGTCGTCGTCCCTCCTATTTCGTCGCCGTCGTCGTCGTCGTTATCGTCGTCGTCTCGTCATCGTCTTCCCTCCTCCCTCGTCGTTGTCGTCGTCGGCGTCGCCGTCCTTCCTCCTTCTTCGTCGTTCGCGTCGTCGCCGCCCTCCCTCCTCCCTCGTTGTCGTCAGTGTCGTCGTTGTCGGCGTTGTCGCCGTCGTCGTCCTCCCTCCTCCCTCGTCGTCGTCTTCGTTGGCGACGTCGTCGTCGTCGTCGGCGTCAGCGTCGTCGTCTTCGTCGTCGTCGACGTCGGCGTCGTCGTCGCCGCCGTCGTCGTCGTCGTCGGCCGTCTTGCTTCTCCGGCCTTCTTGGGGCGCTCTTGAGACGCCCCCGAGGGCTCCAAGACGACCCCAGAGCGATATCTGTGCTCGGTCCCGCATGGTTTTTCAAACCAAATTGCGGGTGGGTGGGTGGGATGATTGCGCGAGCAGTGGAGTTGACAACTTCAAGTTCGGCAAGTGATTAAGTCTCCCCCATAGGACGCACTGCTGCAAACGGTCGCGCCAAGCAGAGGCCCCGAGCCAGAACCCCCCCCCCTCTCACCCACACCTGCGGCCCAATGTCGAAACGCCAGATAAGAAAACGCTCACTGTTCAGAAGAGGAAACGGTACCCATAAAATGTTCGCCCAGAAGTGGCGACGAGTGCCTCCCAGGGAGGCACTCGTCGCCACTTCTGGGATCGTCTCGAAATTTTCGTCAGAACACACCCCGGGAGAGGTCCGGGGAGTAGCGGTAGCGGTACCTCATGGTGTCCCAGGATCGGGGGCGTTCAAGAGGGGGGTGAGGACCGGGGAGGTGCAGCAGCTTGGCCCAGGACCCTCACGGATCGTTCCAGCGCGGAGCGCCCAGCAAAAGCAAACGACAGAGGGGGGGTACAGCCAGATCGCTGGAACAAGGAGCAGTTCGGGTTCGGAAAGGGCTCGTTGTTCCGTCGGGCACGCCATGGTTGTTCCGCTTGTGCTTCTCGTGCGCCCAAGCGCGTTTGGGGCAAAAGTTGGATTCGTTCCTTATCGATTCCTTGTGATAGTACCTCGGCAGCGGTTCGGTGCGTTTTCCTCTGTTTCACGGCGTCGTGCTGTGTCGCGGTTTGAGATGTTTTGGGAGGTGGCCAGGAAAGGTATGAGGGCAGGTATGGGCCCGGGCCATCGGAAGGGTCGACAGAAGCCCAGGGGTCCGTCCGAGAGGGGGGTGACGACTAGGGGGGGGATGATATCATGGCCCCCTACTCTTCTTTCAGCACCTCCTCCTCCTCCTCCTCCTCCTCCTCCGCCTCCTCCTCCTCCTCCTCCTCCTCATCATCATCATCATCATCCATCATCATCATCATCCTCATCCTCCTCCTCTCCTCCGCCTCCTCCTCCTCCTCCTCCCTCCTCCTCCTCCTCCTCCTCTCCTCCTCCTCCTCCTCCTGCTCATCCTCCTCCTCCCTCCTTCTTCCCCTCCCCCTCCTTCTCCCCCCCCTCCTCCTCCTCCTCCTCATTCTCCTCCTTCCTCCTCATCCTCCTCCTCCTCTCCTCCTCCTCCTCCTCTCTCCTCTCTTCTTCTTCCCCCCCCCTTCCCCTCCTTCTCCCCCCCCTCCTCCTCCTCCTCCTTCTCCTCCTCCTCCTTCTCCCCTCCCCTCCTCCTCCCCCTCCCTCCTCCTCCTCCTCCTCCTCCTCCTCCTCCTCCTGCTCCTCCTCCTCCTCCTCCTCCTCCTCCTCCTCCTTGGCCCCCCTCTCCGGCGCATCCCCGGCAGCGGTCTTGGGTTTTTCGCCCCCACGGAGCCCCTTGGCTCGCCCTCATCGCCACGGCGCCGGCTTCGCTGCGGCGCCCTGGCCAGAGCTCGTACAGCGGCATCGGTATCTCGCTGACCTCGAAGAAGAACAAAAACACATAAACACAAACTTTTGGCGCTCCGCGCGGATTTCTCGGATCTGCGCTGGGGCCCCCTCGGCGGCGCCTCCGGCGCCGCCCCTGGCGCGCTCCGCGCGCCAGGGAGGGGGGCCCGGCACGGATCCAAGAAATCCGCGCGGAGCGCCAAAAGTTTATGTTGATGTGTTTCTTTCCTCCTCTATGACCCCTCCTGCAGCGGGGCCGATGGGCCGATCGCGCCGGTCGTGCAGTGAGCTGCTGATGGCTGCCTCCTCCCGGCGTGCACCCGGCGAGGCCGTCGCGGGGTGGCGGCGCGGACGCCAGCGATAACCGCGCAGCGCGGGGGGCGAGGTCGGGTGGCCCAGTTGCTCAGAGGTCTCGGGAGGTCTCTGGCCGCGCCGAGGCTCATATGGGGCACGTGCCATCCAGCCAGCTCGGGGCAGCGACGCCGCTCTTCGAACCTTGGCGACAGCGGCAGGATGGTCAAACGGGAGCCTTGA